AGGAAAGGCAAAAGCTGCACATCGCAAGTGCTGAACCTGACTCAGCACGTAGAAGATGGCTTTGAAAAGCAGCAGATCACAGGAGCTGTCTTCATAGACCTGTCAGAAGCCTATGATACTGTGAACCACCGCCTCTCCTGAGAAAAATGTATAATATCACAAAGGACGACCACCTCACCCGCCTCATAGGAAACCTGCTACAAAACAGGAGCTTTTTTGTTGAGTTCCAGGGCCAGAGAAGCAGATGGCGGAAAACAGAAGAACGGCCTGCCTCAGGGGAGCGTGCTTGCTCCATCCATGTTCAACATCTACACAAATGACCAGCCACTGCCAGAAGGGACAGAGAGTTTCATCTATGCTGATGATCGTGCCATCACCACCAAGCAGGGAGCTTTGAGATGGTTGAACAGAAGCTCTCCGAAGCTCTAGGTGCTCTTACTGCCTATTACAGGGAAAACCAGCTGATCCCCAACCCATCTAAAACACAGACATGTGCCTTTCATCTCAAGAACAGAGAAGCATCCTGAGCTCTGAAGATCACCTGGGAAGGAATCCCACTGGAGCATTGCAGCGCACCCAAATACCTGGGAGTCACTCTGGACCGTGCTTTTACCTACAAGAAGCACTGCCTGAACATCGAGCAAGAAACAATATCATACGAAAGCTGACTGGCACAACCTGGGGATCACAACCAGATACAGTGAAGACATCTGCCCTTGCACTGTGCTACTCTGCTGCTGAGTATGCATGCCCAGTGTGGAACACATCTCACCACGCTCAAACAGTGGATGTGGCTCTTAATGAGACATGCCGCATTATCACGGGGTGTCTGCGCCCTACACCACTGGAGAAATTACACTGCTTAGCCGGTATTGCACCACCTGACATCCGCCGGGAAGTAGCAGCCAATAGTGAAAGGACCAAGGCAGTGACATCTCCAGCTCATCCTGTTTGGGTATCAGCCAGCACGTCAATGACTGTTCTGGAACAGCTGTTCCAGGAGCTCCAGATTTATTTGCTGTGTTTGCATGTTTGTGTGCAATCCCATGCTTGGGATTTTGTAGCAGGGGGTTTCCTGTTATAATTTGCATTTATAGGGTAAGCCACCTGCCAGTTATAGTTAGGTTCCCTGATCCCGCCCCTTTTTGAGTTTTGGAGGGAACAAAGCCATTTTGAGTTAGTTCTCACAGAGAAGCCTTTCGCACAGGACATAGAACGAAGTGGCTCCTGTAGAAAAGCTTCGTCTTTTACAGCTTGGCCGGGGTTATACAGCCCTACAGCTTGGCCGGGAGACATACAGCCACAGCTTGGCTGAGGGACTTCAGCCAGCCATCACTGGGAAGTGAACATCTTCCTCCTCCTGGAAGTTCTGCAAAGTCTCTGTTTGGTAAGGGCCCTTCGCGGCGACCATAAAGCAGATTGGACCGGGTGTAGGGGTCCCACGCCAACAGAAGAGAAGACAGATTGCCCAGGTAGAGGTCGGGGATTTTCCCAACAGTGAAAGAACAGTTGCCTGCCTTTAGACTAGCCTATAGACAGTTAAGAAAGCTTGAAAGTACCTGTTTGTTTCATCAATAAAGAACTTTGTTGGATTTACTTTAAGCAATTCTAAAGACTCTGTTTGGGGGAATCTAAGGGCCTTTAATCTGAGGCAGCCCCGGCGTCCCGTTGGGCACACAGAATTTATGTCTACAGTCATGTGCACAGGCCCAGCGTGCACGCTAACGACTTAAATCTACACATAGTTTTCTAAGATCTACAGAGACACTCGCTGAACACCTCAGCAAGCAAGAGTCCAAAAGTGGCAGGCTCAAACCCAGAACCTCAGCCAATGGCTGATACCAAATGAGAGACTCCCCCCTGGGCACACAGAAGACTGGGCGACTTGGAAGGCGTTGAACAGACTGCGCTCTGGCACTACAAGATGCAGAGCCAACCTCAAGAAATGGGGCCACAAAGTGGAATCCCCAACATGCGAGTGTGGAGAGGAGCAAACCACTGACCACCTGCTGCAATGCAACCCTGAGCCCTGCCACATGCACAAGGGAGGACCTCCTTGCGGCAACACCAGAGGCACTCCAAGGGGGCAGATACTGGTCAAAGGACATTTAACAACTACCAAACTCACAAGTTTTGTATTTTGTCTGTTTGTTTGCTTTGTTCTGTTCTGACACAACAAATAAAACCCCAAATCCTTCAAAATAATCATTATATCATTACCCCCCCACACACACACATATATATATATATATATATATATATATATATATATATACACACACTCCCCACTTGTTAAGGAGGGGACCTTCCCTCAATTTAACATGACATATCCAACACTAACGAAGGGGAGGGGGATCCTTCAATATTCACACAAAATTGGGCAGCACCTTCAATGTACCTTCTATCTCCTTCTCCCACTTTTGTAAGGGGGCACCACCCAATTTAAATATATCTAACTACATTCAACACTCACAAAAAGTAACCCTCTTTTCAAAAGGGGGACCCCCTCCCCAATATAACATTATATTTAACAATGGCAAAAGGGGGCTATCTTTCAATCCCCCAACCCATATCTTATCTATCCCCTTCTCCTCATTGACACCCCTACTACTGACACCCCAAAATTTAAGTACATTCAACACTGACAAAAGGGAAACCCCACTTTTCCAAAGGAGGACCCCCTCCCCAATATAACACTGCATTTAACAATGGCAAGTGGGGGCTATCCTTCAATCCCCCAACCCACATCTTATCTATCCCCTTCTCCTCATTGACACCCCTACTACTGACATCCCAAAATTTAAGTACATTCAACATTGACAAAGGGGAACCCACTTTTCCAAAGGAGGACCCCCTCCCCAATATAACATTGCATTTAACAATGGCAAAAGGAGGCTATCCTTCAATCCCCCAACCCACATTATATCTAACGATGTCAAAAGGGAGCTATATTTCAAGTCAACTCCCCATATATCCCATTCTCCTCATTGGCACCCCTACTCCTGAAAGGGGGACCACCTCCCCAATGTAAATTGCATTATTTAATAATTGCAAAAGGGGTTTTTTCAATCCCCCATTCTTTCAGGCCAACTTATATCTTATCTATCTCATTATCCTCATTGACACCCCTACTTCTGAAAGGGGGACCCCCTCCTCAATATAACAGTATATTTAACACTGTCAAAAGAGGGCTATCCTTCAATCTCCAACTCCTTCAAGCCAACCAACATCTCACCTATCTCCTCCTCCTCATTGACACACCTGTTTCGAAAAGGGAGACCCACCCTAAAATTGAACTACATTCAATCCTAACAAAGGGGGACCCCCTCCCCAATATAACACTGTATTTAATAATGGCAAAAGGGGGCTCTATTTAAATCCCCCAACCTTTCAGGCCGACCTACATCTTATCTATCTCCCTCTCCTCATTGACACCCCTATCTTTAAAAGGGGACCCCCCTCCTCAACATAACAGCATATTTAGCATTGCCAAAAGGAGGCTATCCTTCAATCCCCCAACCCACATCTTATCTATCCCCTTCTCCTCATTGACACCCCGACTACTGACACCCCAAACTTTAACTACATTCAACACTGACAAAGGTGAACCCCCACTTTTTGAAAGGGAGACCACCTCCCCAATATAGCACTGTATTTAACAATGGTAAAAGGGAGCTATCCTTCAATCCCCTAACCCACATTATATCTAACAATGACAAAAGGGGGCTATATTTCAAGCCAACCCCCATAAATCCCTTTCTCCTCCTTGACACCCCTACTTCTGAAAGGGGGACCCCCTCCCCAATATAACAGTATATTTAATATTGCCAAAAGGGGGCTCTATTTCGATTCCCCAACCTTTCAGGCCAACCTACATCTTATCTATCTCCTTCTTGCATTGACACCCCAACTTCTGAAAGGGGGACCCCCTCTTCAATATAGCATTATACTTAACAATGGCAAAAGGGGACTATCCTTCAATCCCCCAACCTACATCTTATCTATCCCCTTCTCCTCATTGACACCCCTACTACTGACACCCCAAAATTTAACTACATTCAACACTGACAAAGGGGAACCCCCAATTTTTGAAAGGGGGGGGCCTCCTCAATATAATAATGTATTTAACAATGGCGAAAGGGGGCTCTATTTGAATCCCCCAACCTTTCAGGCCAAGTTACATCTTATCTATCCCCTTCTCCTCATTGACATCCCTACTTCTGAAAAGGGGGACCCCACCCCAATTCAACAATAGCAATAATATTTTATCTCCCACTTCCCCTTATTTACATCCTGTCCCTTTAAATAGAGACTCCCCTAATTCCCTATTGCCCCCAAAAATGTCAATTATCAACAACAAAGGCCTATCTTTCAATCCCCACCCTCCAAAATCCAGAACAATTTCACCCCCTTTTTCTTTATTGGGGTACTGTCCCTTTAAAGACTCCCCCTTTTATCTCCCCTTCCCCTTATTTACATCCTGTCCCTTTTAATACAGACTCCCCTAATTTCAATATTTCCCCAAAAAATGTCAATTAACAACCACAAAGGCCTGTCTTTCAATGCCACCCCCAAAATCTATTTCACCCCCTTTTTCTTTATTGGGGTACTGCCCCTTTAAATACTCCCCTTCCCCTTATTTACATCCTGTCCCTTTAAATAGAGACTCCCCTAATTTTACATTTCCCCAAAAAATGTCAACTAACAACAACAAAGGCCTGTCTTTCAATCCCACCCCCCAAATCTATTTCACCCCCATTTTCTTTATTGGAGTACTTTCCCTTTAAATACTCCCCTTCCCCTTATTTACATCCTGTCCCTTTAAATAGACTCCCCTAATTTCCACCAAAAATGGCAATTAACAACAACAAAGGTCTATTTTTCAATCCCACCCCCCAAATCTATTTCACCCCTTTTTGCTTTATTGGGGTACTGTCCCTTTAAATACTCTCCCTCTGAGGCTATTCCCCCATAGAGAGAACGAGCAGCCGGAACCTGACCTGACAATGGGCTGGGCTTTGGCGCGCCCCCTCCTGGCGGGGCCGGTCAAGTGCAGGAAGGGGCTCCTGGGTGGGAGGAGCAGCGCCATTCTGCCTCCTTCCTCCTCCGCCGCCGCCTGGCTTCTGCACCAGCAACGCCTTCCAACAGGGGAGAAAGCCGGGAGGAACCATTCCCTCAGCAGCTGGAGGGGGAGACAGCAAAACATACCAAAAAGGGAAATGAATCAAAAAGTCCTAACTGACCCTCTCAAACTCTTAGGCGTCAATTAGGACTAATTTAACCTTCACACTATGAACTGAAGTATCTTTCTTTATTAAATTATCTCGTCAGGAAATAATTCTTCCGTTCCTTCCCCCCCCTTCAACTATTTTACAATGGTACGGTCCAATAGGACCAGCTGTTCCAGTAGACTGAGAAAGAAAAGGAAGGGAGGAGCCCAATTCGAGGTTTTAGACACGCCCCCTAGCAACCTGGCGCGCGCGCCCCGCCGCCCCTCTTGGCAACCGTTGCCCGGCAACGGGAATGCCCCGCCCCTTGGTGGGTTTTTTGTTGTCACTCTGGACGTTGCTTAGCAACGGAAGGAATAGCAATGAATAATAATAGGATAATTATTATTTTAAGGATAATTATACATATATATATATATAATTTATTTATTCCTATTTCTATATTATTTTAAGAATAATAGTAAGATAATTATTATTTTAAGGAGAATAACTGTATATATATATATAATTTTGGTCATATGTCTGATCAAATAAATAAATATTATATTATATATAATTTATTCCTATTTCTATATTATTTTAAGAATAATAGTAAGATAATTATTATTTTAAGGAGAATTATATATATAAATATATAATTTATTCCTATTTCTATATTATTTTAAGAATAATAGTAAGATAATTAGTATTTTAAGGAGAATTATATATATAAATATATAATTTATTCCTATTTCTATATTATTTTAAGAATAATAGTAAGATTATTATTTTAAGGAGAATTATATATATATATATATATATACTATTATTCTTAAAATAATATAAATATTATATTATATATAATATTTCTATTTTTATATTATTTTAAGAATCATAGTATAATTATTATTATTTTAAGGGAAATATATATATATATATAATTTATTTCTATTTCTATATTATTTTAAGAACAATAGTGTGTGTATATATATACTATTATTCTCCTTAAAATAATAATAATTATATATATATATATATATATCTTATTTTAAGGAGAATAATAGTATATATATATATATATTCTATATTACATTAAGAGTATATAATGTTATATATTAATATAATTATTATATATAAATAAATAGTCATTTTGATGTTATCCTCTCTCGTGTTTTTATTAATATTGATTTATTTTTATTGTATTTTTATTTATTTGTATTTTCTGCCAACCTAGCGGTTCGAAAACATGCAAATGTGAGTAAATCAATAGGTACAGCTTCGGCGGGAAGCTAACAGCGCTCCATGCAGTCATGCTGGCCACAAGACCTTGGAGGTGTCTATGGACAACGCCAGCTCTTCGGCTTAGAAATGGAGATGAGCACCAACCTCCAGAGTTGGACATGACTGGACTTAACGTCAGGGGAAAACATTTACCTATTTATTTATTTTTATTTATTTTATTGCATTTTATATTTTATTTTATTTGTTGTATTTATTTTTATTGTACATAGTAATGAGAATAATATATTTATTGGATTTAAATATTTATTTTCTCTTCATGTCTATTAAAAAATAAATTTCTGCCTGAAATGTTATAGTCATTTTGATGTTATCTTCTCCCATGTTGTCATTAATGGTGTTTACATCTTCATTCATTGTGTATGTTTATAGGTTTGTGTTATCTAAGGTGTTAACTTTACTTGAGGAAACTTTTTTTCCTGGATTTTTCCTGAATTTTGGAATATATCCATCTACATCATGAGATAAATTGAAGATGGGGCCCAAGTCTTAATGCAAAAGGTATTTATGTTTCATGTATATGTAGCCTGAAGGTAGCTTTGCAGACGGTATTTTAAATAATGTAGGGCACGAGCCAATGTTTTATGCCCCTGGTTAGTCCCAAATCTGAGAAAAGCCACTTCTTGCTCATTTCAAGAGAGCTAATTAAGGCTAATTAGCGCTGCTAATTGCACTGCTAATTGGGCTGCCTGTCGGTTGGGTTGTAAAGACATAATAACTGTAATAACCAAACCATGGCAGGATTTTGCAACCTTTTATTATATGGGCTGGAGCTCAACTCCACCCTTTCAGATTTTTCCTTCCCAGATCCTTTGAGTTTCTTTGTGTTGTTAGGCAGATTGAGTAATGCAGAAGCGTCTTGAATTTTGGAATATTATCTCCATGATGAGATGGGATGCAAGTCTAAACAATTTATATTTCATATACCTTGTGTTAGAAATGTATCAGCATTGAGTCTATGTGTAAAATACAGTTCTGAGGGACATGTGATAACACACCTGTGGAATGAGTGAGAAGGTAATGGTGAAATATCTAAACAACCGGCAAAAATGGATGAGTCATATTTGTGTGAGGTTTATGACTAGAGGTTGCATCATTCATTTGTCCCTTACCGATTACAAGTTAGCAGGTGGTTATAAAAGGAGAGAGGAAATGCTCAAATCTCTCTCTTGCTGTGTGAACCTTATCATGAACCGATTGTGGATCTGTGTACCATTTCCACTCCCTTGGCAGCCACCTCTCCACAAATGTCAACATTGACACTGAAATGCAACACCGCCTGAGCTCTGCAAGTGCAGCATTTTTCCGAATGAAGCAGAGAGTGTTTGTGGATTGGGACACCCGTAGGGATAACAAGGTGCTTGTTTATAAAGCTACTTGTCCTCCCAGCATGCAGTGTGGAACACATCTCACCACACTAAAACAGTGGATGTAGCTCTTAATGAGACATGCCACATTATCACGGGGTGTCTGCGCCCTACACCACTGGAGAAATTACACTGCTTAGCCGGTATTGCACCACCTGACATCCGCCGGGAAGTAGCAGCCAATAGTGAAAGGACCAAGGCAGAGACATCTCCAGCTCACCCCTGTTTGGGTATCAGCCAGCACGTCAACGACTTAAATCTAGAAATAGTTTTCTTCGATCTACAGAGACACTCACTGGAACACCTCGGCAAGCAAGAGTCCAAAAGTGGCAGGCTCAAACCCAGAACCTCAATCCGTGGGTGATACCAGATGAGAGACTCCCCTGGGCACACAGAAGACTGGGCGACTTGGAAGGCGCTGAACAGACTGCGCTCTGGCACCACGAGATGCAGAGCCAATCTTAAGAAATGGGGCTACAAAGTTGAATCCACGACATGCGAGTGCGGAGAAGAGCAAACCACAGACCACCTGCTGCAATGCACCCTGAGCCCTGCTACATGCACAATGGAGGACCTTCTTGCGGCAACACCAGAGGCACTCCAAGTGGCCAGATACTGGTCAAAGGACATTTAATCAACTACCAAGTTTGCAAAATTTGTGGGTTTTTTTATCTGTTTGTTTGTTTTGTTCTGTTAGAAATGTAATACAATGGTATGGTTGCTGATGACATGATAAATAAAATAAATCATCTCCTAGTCCAAGTAGGATTGTCTTCCAAGATCGGTGTACTGGCGGTGGGTCAGTAGGTGACTGTGGAGCCCTATTCTTGATCTGCATCTTCTCCCACAGTGAGGGCATCAGTTTCCAGGTGGAAGGCAGTCCCGATCGGGGTTGGCTTGACGCGCCTTCCTCTTGGCACGTTTCTTTCTTTCGCCCTCCATTTATGCCTCTTCAAATTCTACAGCACTGCTGGTCACAGCTGACCTCCAGCTGGAGCACTCAAGGGCCAGGGCTTCCCAGTTCTCAGTGTCTATGCCAGAGTTTTTAAGGCTGGCTTTGAACCCATCTTTCAATCTCTTTTCCTGTCCTCCAACATTCTGTTTTCCATTCTTGAGTTCGGAATAGAGCAACTGCTTCGGAAGACGGTGGTCAGGCATCTGGACAACGTGGCCAGTCCAGGGGAGTTGATGGCGGAAGACCATAGCTTCAATGCTAGTGGTCTTTGCTTCTTCCAGCACGCTGACATTTGTCTGCTTGTCTTCCCAAGAGATTTGCAGGATTTTTCGGAGGCAGCGCTGATGGAATAGTTCCAGGAATTGCACGTGACGTCTGTAGACAGTCCATGTCTCGCAAGCATATAGCAGGGTTGGGAGGACAACAGCTTTATAAACAAGCACCTTGTTATCCCTACGGATGTCCGGTCCTCAAACACTCTTTGCTTCATTCAGAAAAATGTTGCACTCGCAGAGCTCAGGCAAAATTTACAGGTTAGTTCTGCTCAAATTACACTTGGAAGAAACAGCTGGTTTGTAGGTCTGTGCATAGAGTTAATAGATCTGGGTTTTTTAAATGTAAGGTGGTCTAATTGCAATCAAAGCAACAAATTCGATCTGATCTGGGAGGCTAAGAAGGGCCAGTCCTGGGCCCCATCTACACTGCCATATAAAATCCAGATTATCTGCTTTGAAATGGATTATCTGGCGGTGTAGACTCATATAATCTCTTTCAAAGCAGGTAATGTGATTTATCAGATTTAATAATCTGGATTATATGGCAGTGTAGAAGTGCTCCTGATTTGCACTTGGATGGGTGGTAACCAACAAATACCACATAATATTTTGCAATAAGGAACTGGCCAACACACCTCAAAAGTATATGTTGCCTAAGAAAACCCTATATAAACAGGATTAAATACTCTAAAAAGGCACCAGATCCTGTCTGATCTTTGATGCTAAGCAGGTTCTGCCCTGGTTAGCAATGGGATGGGAGACCAATCAGAGGCAGGACCTTGCAAAGGCATGTCTAAGGATTCTTTGTCTAAAGGAAACCAACTCACCTTAAAAGTATCTGTTCTCTAAGAAAACCCTATATAAGCAGGCCCAAATACTCTAAAAAGGCACCAGATCCTGTCTGATTTCAGATACTAAGCAGTCCTGCCCTGGTTAGCAATTGGATGGGAGACCAATCAGAGGCAGGACCTGGCAAAGGCGTGTCTAAGGATTCCTTGTCTAAAGGAAACCAACACACCTCAAAAGTATCTGTT